TGTCTCCTTTTTCCACTTTATCACAGCCTCTGCCTTGTTTATATGCATGTCATGTAGTATGCATGAGAAATGTGTTAGGTTTAGTGACTCGTTTTTTAGTGGTTTGGTCCTTTTGTAGTTGCTGGAATTATCTCCATACTCGTTAATTTTCTGTCCGATGGATATGTAGCAAATATTTCACCCATTCAGAATTCTGTCTCTTCACTTTCTCAGTTTGCTTCCTTTTGATGTGGGGAAAGTTGTTAATTCCTCATAATCCTACCCTCCACACATGGAGACCATTTCCTGACCTACTGAACCTTTTAAGAATGTTCTTGGCTATTCCCTTCTCTCTCTCTCTCTCTCTCTCTCTCTCTCTCTCTCTCTCTCTCTCTCTCTCTCTCTCTCTCTCTCTCTCTCTCTCTCTCTCTCTGGTGGAGTTTCTTTTCTATTATTTAAATTTAAATTAGAAACAAGGTTGTTTCACAAGTCAGTTCCAGGTCTCTCCCCTTCTCCCATGCCCTCCCCCAAACCTCCCAATACCCCTTCATTTCCCCAGGGAGGGTGAGGCCCTCCTTGGGGGTGTCTATAGTCTATCCTTTCATTCAGGGCAGGGCCTAGACCCTCCCCCAAGAGCTCAGGGTGGGAGTGCATCTCACATTGTTGGATGGGAGAAACACGAGTGGGAGAAACACGAGTGGGGGAAACCCTGTCAGTGTAATGACGCCTAATGATATTCTGCTATACTTATAGATTGGTGACATCTCCAATAGTCATCGGAGCGGCTTCTTCCAGAAACTGGTGGAAACAGATGTAGAGACCCACAGCCAATTAGGCTGGCCTCTGAGAATCCTGCTGAAGAAGGAAAGGAAAGATCATAGGAGCCAGAAGGGTCAAGGACCTGATAAGAAAACCCACAGAATCAACTAACCTGGGTCGAAGGAGCTCACAGAGACTGAAGTGACAACCAGGCAGCCTGCATGGGTCTGACCTAGGCCCTCTGAATATATGTGACAGTTGTGTAACAGCGGAGCAGGGCCTGTCTCTGACTCTGTTGCCTTGCACAGCCATAATGCAAGGCAAAATGCTAACTCTTACTATGACTTGATATGCTATGTTTCATTGATATCCATGGGAGGCCTGCCCTTTCCTTAATACAAAAGAAGCAGGCGTGGGTGGGGTGGGGAGGAACTGGGAGGGGAAACTCAGGTCTGGATGCAAACGTAGTTAATTAAAATCCTCTTTGCTCCTCCATATTTCCCGCCTCTCCAGCACTTCTTCATTTGTGTCAGTGGCATTGGGAGCCACAGTGTCCTGCAGCACACCCTTTCGTCCTATCAGCTTTACTTGCAAATGTCCATTGCAATGAGTCACGGGTCTGGGTCAAGGCCCCTGGTTTCTGGCACACATTCATCACTGGATCCTCTCTGAAACTCCTCTTGGTTCTCCCGAGGGCTCCTGAGTCATGGACATCCTGTGATTAACTTTACACAGGCCCAGTCCCTCCACACGCTAGCAGGTCATAGATGGGGCAGACGCTAAGGTGGGTCAACTCCAGGCCTGGATGTACACCTGGGTGGTAGTTGAGCTGGTCACACCTGGCCACTGGGACTGCCCCACTCAGGTGCAGGGCAGAGCTACTGTCCTATGCCCATGCCCTTGGGGCTGGCTCTTCCACACCTGTGGTGAGGGGTGAAGCCCTCTCTCCCAAGCGCAGGGGCCAGCTGACCTGTGCCCAGGCCATTGGGACCAGCTCTCTTGTGCCTATGCCATTGGGGACAGCTCTCTTGATGCAGTGTCCAGTGAGAGGCAGGGCCAGCTTCCCCAGTGTCAGAGAAGGACTGGGCCGGCTCAGTCTGGCCCTAGGACTTCATCTTGCATGGTTCTTATGGCCCCCGTAACATGGTAACATGAGCCACAGATTTCAACACTGGCCATAGATGCAAAAAGACCATGGACCCTAACATGGCCCCTTGGCAGCAGTTTGGACATGAATGACACCATTGCATCAGGTGGCAGCATAGGCCACTCAGATCAGCATGGCTCCTGTAGCGGCCCAGCCCTCAGACACCAACAAGACCACAGTTTGCAGCCCAGGTTCTGGGCTTCATTTTGGACTTTGATGGCAACATGGGCCATGGTTTTCAACACAAACCACAGCTGTGATAGGACTATGGACCCAGACATGGTCCTTGCAGTAGCTGGGCCAGGATGTCACCATGGCCCCAGGTTGCTGCACAGGCCACTCAGATCATCAAGGTCCTGGCTGCATTGTGACCCTATGACACCAAGAAGCCCCCAGGTGGTGATCTAGACTCCTGGTATCTACATGGTCTTTGATGGCAACAGGAGCCACGGATACCAATACAGACCTCAGCTGCAGCAGGACCATGCACCCGGATATGGCCCTCAGCTAGAGCTCTGACCCAGATGTCACCAGAGTAGCTGGGCAGCCCACTCAGATCTGTATGACCCCATCTGCAGGATGGTCCTCAGATACCATCAAGACCTCATACGGAGGCCTGGAGTCCGGGCATCTGCATGGACTTTGGCGGCAACTAAAGCCATCCACAGCCATCAACACAGACCCTGGCTGCTGCAGGTCATGGAGCCACACATGGCCCTTGGCAGCAGTTTAGGCCGAGATGCCCGGGGTGACAGTTGTGGTCACCAGATCAGCATGGCTCCTGCGGCAACTGGGCCTCAGGCACCAACATGTCCACAGGTGGTAGCCCAGACCTGGGCATCTGTGCCACCTTGGAGAGCAACATGGGTCATGGATGTTAACACAGACCCAGACATGGCCTTCTGCACCAGCCCATGCCCAGAGGTTACCATGGGCCCGGGTGGCACTGCAGGCCACCCAGGTCAGCATGGCACAGCTGCAGCATGACTCCTGGATACCAACATGACCTGAGGAGGGGGTCCAGACCTATTCACCCCTTCTGAAATGGTGTACAAACATTGCAAATAGCTATGGATCTAATACCTTGTGTGCTCAAATATAAAATGCATCTTAACCATTTTCCTGCCTCATGCATTCTCCCTTCTCTTCATCCGCATTCTTTCCACCTACTAGTCTCCTTATTCTTTTGGGGGGGGGTTCAAACAGGGTGTCTCTGTGACTTTGGAAAGGCTGTCCTGGAAATAGCTCTTTTAGACAGGCTGGCCTCGAACTCACAGAGATCAGCCTGCCTCTGCCTCCCGAGTGCTGGGATTAAAGGCGTGCGCCACCCCTGCCTAGCATGTCTCCTTTTTCCACTTTATCACAGCCTCTGCCTTGTTTATATGCATGTCATGTAGTATGCATGAGAAATGTGTTAGGTTTAGTGACTCATTTTTTCAGTGGTTTGGTCCTTTTGTAGTTGCTGGAATTATCTCTATACTCATTAATTTTCTGTCTGATGGATATGTAGCAAATATTTCACCCATTCAGAATTCTGTCTCTTCACTTTCTCAGTTTGCTTCCTTTTGATGTGGAGAAAGTTGTTAATTCCTCATAATCTCACCCTCCACACATGAAGACCATTTCCTGACCTACTGAACCTTTTAAGAATGTTCTTGGCTATTCCCTTCTCTTGAGGAATTTCCTGATATTTGTGTCTGACATGTTCAGAATTGCAGGTCTGATATGAAGGAAGGTCTTTGATCCATTTAGAACTGATATTTCTCAGGATAAGAGCTGAGGATCCAGCTTGAGTCTTCTACCAGTTTATATCTAGTTTCCCCAGGACTGTGTGTCAATGAGAATGGCTGCCTGTTCTCCAAGGTACGTTTGGGGCATCCTTGCCAAGATGGCCACAGAAGCTGCATATGTCCTCTCCCACATGGATCCTAGCTTCATAGTTTTACATTTCTGTGTTTAAATAGGAGTTGGTGTCTGTTGAACTCAGGGAACAGGAAAGGAGCCAGGAGAGGAGGTCTTGAGGGCAGGGAAGCAAGATGATTGTGACATGAAAGTGGAGTAGGGGGAACACTGAGGTTAGAAAGGCTTAAAGAGGGAGTGTGCCAGGGGCAGTGGGTGGTGGGAAAGGGCCAACCAAGCCTGAGGACACGGGCAACACACATGCAAAGTCACCAACTTTAGTTGGTTGCTGAAAGATTTGATTGTTTTCTTTTTTGGGATTATAGTTCACATTCCCTTCCCTTCATTTCCTCCCTCCAAGGACTCACATATACCCTTACTTTCTCTTTTTCAAATTAATAGCTTATTTAATTAACTTGTTTCACATATGTGTATGTGTTTATGTATATGCATATATGTTTCTAAATATAAGCTCCTTAGTCTTTATCATGTTACTTGTATATTTGTCTCCAGGACTGATCATTTGGTATGGGATAAACAGTTGGTGTGCTTTTCTCTGTGGAAGAGTATTTCTACAGCTCCCAGTATTCCTTAGTTTCCTATGTTTTTAGTATAGGGCTGAGGCCTAGTGCCTTTCCCCAGTCCAGTCAGGCATGTGTACTGTTGTCCTTGTTCTGCTCATATGTGGGCAGTCACATTGCTGACACATTATGGGTAACTTCCGGCATTACTAGGAGACATGGCCTCATAGGTTGCTTCCTATCCTCTAGTTCTTATATTCTTTCTGCCCCTCTTCCAAAATATTCCCAGAGCCTAACATGCAGTTAGTTGTTTTGGAGATGGATCCACTGGAACTGGGTTCCACAACTCTGCAGTTTGATGGGTTGTTCTTTTCTATAACAGTTCATGTCTGTTGCAAAGAAATAAAATTGATGGTCAGGGAAAGAGGCCTACCCTTAACTGTGAGTATAAGAATTTAGAATATAGTTAGGTATTATGATGGCTTAGTAAAGTGATGGTTGTAGGTTGTCCTCCAAGATGCATGATTTCAGTAGCCCTGGGTAGCTGGCTAGATTTTCAGTACCAAATATGATTTCCCCCCTATTGAACAGGGCTTAAGTCCAATTAGAGAGCTAAAATTTTTGAATGAAGGTACCCTAAATGAATGGATAATACTGCTCCCAAAAGAGTTTTGAAAGAAAAATCTCAATACCACTTGTGGGCTATTTCCTTCTGAGTTGTTGGCTGGAGGCTCCCAAAACTGCCATTGGCAGGTCACCCACCGGAACTAGATGGTAAGACTATGTTACTGAAGAAACCAGACTTTGGACACAGCATATAAAGAAATCACAATAAAAGTAAGCTGGAAGCTTCCACTCTGCTGGCTGGTGTTCATAGTTCTGGAAGGTCCCATGCAGGCTGTGGGGGAAAAACATCAACAGTGTTACCCAGCTCTGAACCTGAGTACTATTAAAAACACCCTAGAAGGCAAGATGCACCCACTTGTCCAATACTGGCAAGATCGCTTTGGAAGTAACCAATTATTTTCTGATTGGATTTGAGGCCTGATCCATGGGAAGAATTACATACCTGAAATCTCACGGTGTGCACTGCTGTAATAAAACACCATGACCAAACCGACTTTGGAGGAGAGGGTTTACCTCTTTTTACAGTTTGTAGTCCATCTTCTAGGGAAGTCAGGGCAGCGACCTGGAGGCAGGAACTAAAAAGAGAACATGGAAGAGTGCTGCTCCTCAGGGCTTGCCCAGCCTGCTTTCTTTATCTGTTCACCTTTTAGTATCTTAAGTTAATTCACTGTTGTTAATTTTCCTTTTCCTTTTATATTTGAGGTTACAATATAACTAAAACACTTCTCCATTCCCTTTCCTCCCTTCAAACCTTCCCATATACCCCTATTTACTCTCTTTCAAATTCATGGCTTGGTTTTTCTTGTTGTTGTTGTTGTTAATTGTTATTACAAACAAAGGGGGAAGGGGGAACACACACACACACACACACACATGTGTAAACTGCCCGAGGAGCCGACTACATACAAGTATGCACTATGGTAAACGTCTCTTACCGTTCTCACCAGGACCATCATCATTGGTTACGGATTGTACTCACCCAAACTGCATCTCACCACCTCTCTGTAAATCCCACATACTCTCTTATTCTTGGCATTCTGACCAACCTTGCATCTCTGCATTGACTGCTATCACTGCAAAAAGATGCTGCCTTCTGGACATGACATGGTGACCACAGTCACAAATTGACAGAAGCTATGTGTACCTGCAAAAGATCAACCCAGCCCAAACTCAGAGAGGGATGTTCTTCTGGATTCACCCCTTAAAGAAGAAAAGCTATTGGCAGCTGATAGCTGCAGGGACAGGGAGAACCACTGTTTTGTTTTTTTTTTTACTTATAGGATTCCTATGGGAAGCAATAATTGGGCTGAGAGGGTTACAAAAACCAGACATGAAGTTAAGAAGGGGCATCCTGGGGAAACATGACAGAAATTAGAAAAAGAAACTGGATTTACATATAATCATCTCTCATTGTATACATGTATAAAACTCCCATTAATTGTATACAGACACAGACTCAGACACAGACATACACACACAACACACACACACACACACACACACACACACACACACACACACACACACACACACACCAGAGCACAAAATCCCTGACGCTAAGGAACTGTCTGTTTGATGCTATGTTACTCTAGGGTGGACCATCCTAATGGGAATAAAGAAGCTCTAGGTGAAGGAGAACATTTCTTTGACTTCGCTTTGGTAATACTGAAAGGGTTTCTCTTTGACATCATTGCATACCTGTTGCTAGACATTTTTCTTAACAGCAGCAAAAGAAGTCAAATAGAAATGTATGCCAATGAATTTCCTAATGAGTATCTTTAAGAATAACCTAAAATTGCTCTTAGAAAGTGTCTTCTAATATGTTTTAGACTATTATACTTCTATTGCTCCCAATCTGTCCCATGGGAAAGACAAATATTACCTTTCTTCTTTTGCTGTTACAGTATACTGTGGGAAAGAGGGCTGAAAGCAGACAGAAAGCCACACTCTGCTGCCCCAAAGTCACCATTCATTTCAACAATAACGCAGCACTTTCAACTGCCCAAACAGGTCAGCAAACCCTATGTTCTGGACATCTGCTTCCCCATAGTGACCTGACTCCTCCCCCACATATGGGATGAGGACAGTTACACAGCTTAAGAAAGCCAAGCCCTGACCTTGAACTCCACACCTGCCACATGCTGCTCGATGGGCTATTGTATAGTAGATCAAAGACATGTCCTTGCTCACCTCAAACATAAGAAAGTATCCCACTCAACAGCTATGAAGGACCCCATCTCCAAATTACTATGTCCATGTTGGCAAGGAGAGCAATGATAAGCAGTCACTGTAGAGCACATCTCCTTTCAGTAGGCGCAATCTCCATGAGATTCTCTGAGCCTTGCAGAGACTGATGTTCACTCCTTTCCTGATTCCAACACGCTCTCGAGACAGTCAAGATACCCACCTAACCCCTGGGAGAATGCAACAGGATCCTGTCCAAGGCCAGCCAGTCCCTCGTGAGTACACACCAGAATACTCACCATATGCAAACATTTCAGCACACTTCTCTCTGGCTGCAGTGCCTTTTCTTAGGTCGCAGGGATTCTTAGGTGACAGGGACTTGGCACAGAAGTATTCCTTTGGCACAAGAAATCTTTTAGGCAAGAGGATAGTAATAAAGAAAACAGGTGAACAACCACACGACTAATTTCACATCTCTAAGGAAAGAGTAAGGCAGGAAGAAATTGAGAACGGGAGGAAAGGTATGGGCGAAAAGGGGAAAACAGAGGAAGGAAGGGAGGTGGGCGGGATGGGAAGGAAACAGGCAGTTTAATCATTGAGACTGCTTAAGATATATTCATCTGAATTCTGTCTCATCTTTCCTACTTAGTTCCTTTTATGTAAACTTCACACACAAAACTTTATAGACATCAGTAACTACACAAGCTCTCAATATATAGGCATATAAAGAACTACTTAGATCCACCATAGAATCGCTGGGGTCCTGTCCAAGAACAGCAAGTACTCTTAACTTCTGAGCCATTTCACCCCTAAGGAAGACCAAAAATAATGCAAGAGATAAGGGGTGAGATGAGCTTCACCTCTCTGACATGCTTTTTTCTTTTTTTTTTTACAATTTTAAAAATCTAAAATATAATTACATCATTTCTTCCTACTCTCTCTAGCCTCTCTCATGTCTGCCCCAACTCTCTCTCTTATTATTCTTTCATATACATATGTAAGAGTACATACATAAATACATAAATACAATCTTCTGAGTCTATTTAATGTTACTTGTATGTATATGATTTTCAGGGTTGACACCTTGTGGATAACAAATTTCTTAGAGGTTCATTCCTAGGAGACTAATTCTCCCTTTTTTTAGCATTCATTAGTTGCCTGTAGTTCTTTAAGTCCCTTAATATTTCTCCCTTCAGGCCGGGCGGTGGTGGCGCACGCCTTTAATCCCAGCACTCGGGAGGCAGAGGCAGGCGGATCTCTGTGAGTTTGAGGCTGGGCTGGACCGACAGCCTCCAAAACAATACAGAGAAACCCTGTCTCGAAAAGCCAAAAAAAGAAAAAAAAAGATTTCTCCCTTCAAAGTAAGCATGCCCATTGGTGTGGTCATTATCTACGTCCATTTTGCCATGTTTTTGAGGCATCATGGGTGTAGCTTCAGTGTCACGTCTAGTAGACACAATCTCATAGCAAACTTACCAGTCTTCTGGTTTTTGAAACCATTCCATCCCCTCTATGATGTCCCACGAACCCTACAATCAGTTGTTCTCTGCATTTCGACCAGATGTAGTTTTCTGTAATTGTCTCTTGTCTTTTCCAAAATGAACCTTCTTTGATGAGGGGTGAGAGCTATATTTATCTGTGGGTATAAGGAAAAATATTTAGAAATCTTTAGAATGCACTTAGCAGTTAACTATTGTTACCAGACATGGCACCAGTAGGTTCTCCTTGAAGAGCCATGACCTCATTAGTAACAGGTAGTTGGCTGCGTTTACAGTACCAGACAATGGCTGAGCAGGGCTGTGAGTCCAATTAGACAGCAGTTGGTTGCTACCAGAATGTACGTGTCACTATTGCACATTTATAGGTATCTTAACAATGTTGGCCATGTTTTGGTCATATGCCTCACTACTGACTGCTTCCCTCTTTCAGCAGCTTGCCTAGCACCTTCCATTACTATGAAAGTTAGTCCTCAGGGAAGAGGCTTTCAGGTCAGGTACAGCTCAAATCCGCCAAGTCCTGTGTCTGAAGAGTAAGGTATCATCAACACTAGGGATTTATCTTCAACTTCCAAGAGGCAAGGGCAACAGCAATAGCCTATACTGTTTTGGGTGTCTCTTATAGACTCCCTGACCAACAATGGGAAAGGAGGTTTCTCAGGCTTGGTACTGTGGGGTTTGTTAGTCTATGGCTCTTCGAGGAAGCATTAGTACCCCAAGTGAGATAACGTCACTGAAATTATCTTTATATACATAAATATGTAAACACACACCCCAGCTACAGAAGATCCTGCAGATGGAGCCCTAGATACACTGCCCACTAGAATTTGGCCACAACGCGCTGGACCACCCCTCGCTTGGACTGACACCTCTTGTTTCCACTTCCTCTGAGCAGAAAGTAAGTAGAGCAGTCAACACCTACCCTCCATCAGCAGTCAGCATCAATCTCTGAGAGAGGATGTGTCTTAGTCACTGTTCTATTGCCATGAAGAGACACCATGACCTCGGCAACTCTTAAGAGAGAAAGCATTTAATTGGGAGCTTGCAGAGATTTAGTCATTATCACCATGGCAAGGAGCAGGACAGCATGCCACCAGGCACTGGAACAGTATCTGAGAGCAATATCCTTATCTGTAGGGAGAAAGAGGCACACTGGACCTGACATGGGTTTTTGAAACTGGAACGCCTACCCCCAGTGACACACTTCCTCCAACAAGGTCACTCTTCCCAATTCTTAGAATATTTTTGAATACTGTCACTCCCTAGTGATTAAGCATTCAAATATATGAGCTTATGGGGGCCATTCTTCGTCAAACTACCACAGGGTATTAGGCAGAGCTAGAAGGGCATAGGTAAACAAGGAAAGCAAAAGCAGGCTCTACGAAATGGCTGCTTTTCGGTCCCAGAAGACTCTGTAAGGAGAAACAGTACAGGTACAGGGGCAGGTATCTAGACAGGACTAGTAGGGGAAAGAAGGACCACTAAGGGCCCTACAGAGTACCCAAGTCAGCCTCTGTTTAATGGACTTCCAGACTTAGGCTTCTCCCATCCTGACAGGATAAAGCTGTAAACACTGTATGTGATAAAAGATTAAAACATAAAATTTGCAGGTAAATGGAACTATAGAATATTATATTGAGTGGAGTAACTCACACCAGAATGACACACACTGCATGTTGCCTCTGTCATCTGTGGTTTCTAGCTCCAGATCTTCAGATGTAAATATGTAACTTTGAGTAATTGTAGTAACCAGGGATTTAAAAAAGGACCGTGTGGTAGGGGACGATCACTAGAGAGAGGAATGGTAGGGTAGGAGGGATATGAAAAGGGAAATAGGAAAAGCAAGGAGTGGAGTTTTAACTGGGGAAGGAGCAGGAAGAACTGGGGAGAACAAATAACATCAAAGTATATTTGAAAAGTTAACTGTGGCTCATTTGATGTTGTATTAACCTTAAAGTACATAAAGTACATATTAGCATTTATGTATACATATACATGATGTTTTCAATTGATACAGAAAAGATCTTTGACAAAAACTAACACCTATTCATGATAAAAACCCTGGAGAGACTAGCATGAAGGGAATGTATCTCAATATAATATGTTATTCATCATAAAGCCAAATGGATGAACGTTGAAGTAAGTTCCACTGATATCAGAACAAAACAAGGGTATCTATGCTCCCCACTCCAATTCTATACAGTGCTTCAAGGACTAGCTAGAGCATTAAGACAAAAGAATGAACTGAAAGTGTTCCTATTTGCATATATTTTTTCTGTAACTGAAAGACCCTGAAGACTCCCCTAAACCTGATAAACACTTTCAGCAAGGTGGCAGGTTACAAAATCAAAAGGCATACATACCTTCACAATATCCTTAAATTTAAATTAACAAAATACCATGGAATAAACCTGACCGACTATGCTTGTTTTAATAAGCAATGTCAAGCTAGAGAGATGGCTCAGAGGTTAAGAGCACTGGCTGCTCTTACAGAGGTCCTAAGTTCAATTCCCAGTAACCACACGGTGGCTCACAGCCACCTAGAATGGGATCTGGTGCCCTCTTCTGGCATTGAGGTGTATATGCAGACAGAGCCCATAAAAAGAAAAAAAAGAGAGAGAAATGTACCTCATAGGCTCCAATATTTGAATTCTTGGTCCCCAGTTGGCAGCACTGTTTGGGGAGGCTGAAGAAGCATGGTCTTTCTGGGGGACGCACGTCACTGGGGGAAGGCTTTGAGAGCTGAAGGCCTTGCTGGGCTTCCACAATGCTCTCTCAGCTTCATGCTTATGGCTAGGATGTGACCTCTCCACTTCCCGCCCCAGCTGCCATGCCTGATGCTGCTATGCTTCCCAGCCATGATGGACTCTTTATCCCTCTGGACCCATAATCCCAAAATAAATTCTTTCTTCCATAAGTCACTTTGGGAATAGTACTTTATCATGGCAACAGAAAAATAACTAATACACCAAGGAAATGAAAGACCTGTAAAATAAAAACCTTAAAATAATGAAAAAATTTAAAGACATCAAAAGATGTAGAGACCTTCATGTATTTAGATTAACAGGATTAATACTGCAAAAACTATTGGTTATCCTATCAAAAGCAATCTACAGATTCAGTGTAATCTCCATCAAAATTTTAGAGTAATTGTTCATGGATATTGAAAATACAATCTTGAACTCATATGGAAGTACAAATGACCTTGAGTAGCACAAATAATCATGAGCAATACACATACTACTGAAAGTATTATCGTGCCAGATTTCAAAGATTACAGAGCCACAGTAATGAAAACAGTACTGTACTTGACACACACACAGGCAATTTACCAGTGCAAAGAGAACTGAAGACCCAGATATAAATACATGCACCTGCAGCCACCTGACTTTTTTCAACTTATTAATTAATTTTTTTCATTTACTTTACATCCCGACTGATGCTTCCCCTCCCCCCCACATCTCCTCTGCCCCCTTCTCCAATCCACCCCTCCTCTGCCTCTGTTCAGAAAATGGCAGGCCTTCCATGGGTGCCAACAAAGCATGGCTTATCAAGTTGCAGTAGGACTAAGCTCCCCTCTTTGTTTTAAGGCTGGGCAAGGCAACCCAGCATCAGGAACAGATTCCCAAAAGTCAGTCAAAGCATTAGGAAGAGGCCTCACACCCAGTGCCAAAAGTCCCACAAGCAGACCAAGCCACACAACCATCTAGTCTAGTCTCATACAGGTTACCTAGCCCAGCCACCTGATTTTTGGCAAAAAGCCAAAATTTCACATTAGAGTGAAAATTGGGTATCTAAATGTAGATTAAAATTTGATTCTTATCCACACCCTGTGCAAAACTCAATTCCAAATGGATCAAAGGTCTCAATGTGATTCCTGAGACCTGAAACTGAAGCTTCTAGGGAACGTACTTGAGGACAGGCTCAGAAGAGGACTTGCTCAGAAAATAGGGCCAACAATCAACTTAAAAGGTTTTAACACTGCAAGGGAACTGTTGATTAACTGGAGTCAACACACAGAAGCAGGGAGCAGAGGCACGAGTCTTCACATCTACATCTTACAGAGAATTGGTATCCAATGTACAGAAAGAACTCAGAAAAATTAAATGCCAAGAAAACCAACAACTCAATTTTAAAATGGGCTATGGAACTGACTGAACAGAGCATTTTTTAAAAAGAACAAACACAAATGGCTAGGAACATTTTTAAAGTATTTGATACACTTAGCCATTAGTTGGGGAAATGTCACTTTAAAGCACATTTAGATTTAATCTACCCTAGTCCGAAATGGTTAAGATTAATATTGGGCAGGATGTGAGAAAAGGTGAGTCCTCATTAGCTATTGGTGGGAGTGCAAACTGATTTAAGTGTAAAAGAGTTTAATTGGAGTTACCCTGCAGAAAGGATAATGTTTCTCCCAAAGCCAGAGGTTGCCAAATAAAAACCCCAGTGCCAGGTATGAAAAACCTCACCTCAAGCTGTTTGTCTGGGTTGTCCTAGACATCTCCCAAACAACAGAGTCTGTTGCTGTTGCTCTTGGTTGCCCAATAGAACTTGATTGTAAAAATCCTTTTGGTGAAGACACTATTTGGCCACAGGCCTTCGAGGAATCAAATTGGTACTGAGTGGGGAGCTTCCTCCCTACTGGTAGCTACTGTGCAGGCTGCTGGGAAAGAAAAGCCATTAATAGTCCTACCCAGCTGGGAACCCCACAAACTATAATAATGACCACCCTGTCAAAGTATGTCCATAGGTACAGTGGTAACTTAATGTAAGGCATCAAGGAATTCAATTACTGGTGACAAGTACAAATAATGCTAAAAATAAAAGGAAGTTTAACAGCATTTATATGATCTTTGTGAGGGAAAGAATATCTCCCTTTCAATTTTTTTTCATTTTACTTTAAGAAAAGTCAATATTGCTACACAATGACTAGTGGATTCCTTGGTATATACACAGCAATGAAAGGTACTTCATAGTTATATAAAGAGTCGCTATAGCAATCAAATAACTTAGACACAAAGATATTACTTTTCTAGAAATACATATCAAAGTATAAGTGTGGCAGCATTATGTTCAGGGTCATTTCAAAAACCATTAGAAATCTCTACTACTCCTGTTTTCTTTCATTTTCAAACATAGCAGAGGCTATTAACTTCAGACAACTGCTGTACACATAGCTGTGGCCTGGCACACGGTGCATAACCTCTCCCCTCACTCAGTGGATGCTCACAGAACCACGATGCTTTCCAAGGCATGGCTTCTCTCTGTCTGAGTGTACCCACTTCAGAGTCCCAACATGATTCTCATCATCAGGTCTATTACCGCACTGGATGCCTCCTAGCCTCCATCTCCACAACTCCAGCTTTAGGGATCTGAATCTGTCTCCCATTCAGTCTGCTAAGGGAAAAGGAGGCCACCCCTGCCCCTTCAGAATGGCACGTGCCAGTCTGTCAGTGCTGACTGACCCATGTTCAACTGCTGTTCATCTACTCTTCTATAACAAGCTAGGCATTAACTAAGGTAAATAAACGAGTAGACGTGAACAACTGTGTTTCAAAAAAACATAAGAGCATGGTGGTCAGTGGCTTTATTCCCAGAACTAACTAATTCAAGGCCAGCCTGGTCTGTATAATGAGTTTCAGGCCAGCCAAGGCTACATAGTACAACCATATTATTATAAAAAAATAGGAAGAGTACCTACCTCATCTTAACAATCTCATTTTTAAAAAAAAAAGTTGAAATTACTATGCAATATGAACTTCATTGTGTTTAACAAGTACTTTGGTTTTTAAAATGTTTTCAACCTTTCTACCCTATATAAATAATAAATGGTAAGAAATAAAGTTCTCAGGGGGAAAGCCACATCTATTTTAAACATTGTACAAAGCTATAGACAGTTGGAATGTTGCAGGACTAAAGCCAAATTATCTTGGACTATCATAACTCCTAAATAGAGTTCCACTCAGTAGATGTGATTCAATATCCTTGTGACTTGTAGTTAAGTCCCAAAAGCTAAGAACAGTATCTGATGCCTACATTATAGCTCCCCTCCTCCCTCACTATAACCACTGTCAAAGAATCAGGTCTCACCTCAAAGTAATAAGGGATGTGGCTTATTTTGGAGTCAAATATGAGTTGCCATGGTCCAGGAACATAGACTGAGATCTCCCCAAAATACCATGTTCCAACGAGATAGCAATTTCATCCACTTTTTATAGTGAGAGAACAAAGAAGCCCATAAATCGAGACACCTTTCCAGATGCACCAGTGGGCACATCAGGCAGGCAGGCTACAGCGAGGTGGAAGGAGCTCTGCTGTCAGCCTTCCGTGCCACCTGACGGTACTTCTCACCCTTCGGTTGGTAAAAATTCGGATTTGCTCAGTTAACTCCTCCCAAATGTTTTGTGTTTTTAGGATGTTAGGTCTCACAGAGAGCGGAAAGAAACCGCTCTTCAGTAGATTAAAGATCACCCATAAACTGCAACCAGGCCCCAGAAGTGCAGCATGCCAGCCTCCCCACATCACCCAAGTGTGTTGTTTGCTTTTGCTTGTTTGTTTGAGACGGGGTTTCTCTATGTAGCCCTGGATGTCCTAGAATTCACTATGTAGACCAGGCTGGCCTCCAACTCACAGAGATCTGCCTACCACTACTGGAATTAAGGCAGGCACCACCATGCCCCACAAAGTTTTAAAGTCAATAAGCCTTTGCAGACTCGATTTCTTTCATAGAATTCTCACTCAAATTTGGCTACCTAAATGGATTGGAAAAGGATCCTCAACTGTGATTTCCTCTGTCTGTTACTATAAAATTTCATGAAACTGTTACCACATCTAAACATGGTATTTGGGGTAACCTAAATCTGTGTTCCAGAACCATCTCCAGAAAAACTTTCTCTTCTTTCACCATTAGGAATGGAAAACTTGTAAGGAAAAGTATAGGTGTCCATGGTGACTGGACACCTAATCTAGATTCCTAATTTTCTACAGTGATGTTAACTGATGTCTAATAATCAAACAGTATGTGACTTCAACACAAAACTGGATTCTTACATGCCAAGACAACTGAAGTAACAGAACATTCAACAAAGAGAAAATAAGTAGTTGGAGTTAACCACAAAACATATATTGCGTTTTGATAAAAGAACCCTGAGAATACCCCCACTGAAAATCCCATGGACTCTATTGAATTTAAGGAAGAAGAAACCTAAGAGGGGAAAATGAAAGGAGAGGCAGGGGAAAAAACCAACTCCCTTGCATTTTTTTCAAGCGTGAAGGGCGGGGGAAGAAACCAAGCAGCAGGCGGCAGCAAAGAGCAGCACTACCATCTACTGGTCGGAAAAGTCTAGATTCAACCATGGTGAATGAAAATCTAGTTTTCCTTCGACTCTTCGACAAACCGCCTAAGAGGTAAAGCCTGTGGAAGCCAGGCGGCATTAAACATGGGAGTCACAGGCTTCAAGAATTACAAGTACTAAGTGTACCCACCTGGACGACAAGCCCAGCAAGGCAGCCTTTAGTCCCGCCCTCCGGAGCCATAGCAACAGCAGCAGGAAGTCCCAGACACACAGGAAAAGCACCAGCAAGCAGGTCACTGGATTGGCGAGCTTTGGATCTGCGCAATGATCAGAAGTGAGGTCGTAGGCGTTAACCCTCAGTCCTGGATCGTAACAACCTGCTTCTGCGCCCACACGGGAGGGGCAGGGCGCCCCTCCAGTCTCTCCTGTCCAGGGGCCTTCTGCTTATCCATTTCAAAGTCTCTCTGCCTGCCTGGCCCTGGGCAGCACAGAAGACCGTGCCTTTCTGTGGTGTCCAGGAGTGGCCAGTCGCCAGCATGTATCTGAATAGGAGAGGACTTCTGCCCTTAAGAAAGCTTTGCTTATATAAACCAAACAGGTTGCAATCCTCTGACTTACATGATACATGATCTCTAAACTTTTCTCT